CAAGTCTGACAGCTGACAATGGTCTAGGGTTCTCCGACGCAGATTTAACCCCCATGGGAAAGAATCACAATAAAGCCTTGCACATTTATGTTGAATGTAAGGGGAACACTCTGGCACATGTTTTGGTTGACATAGACTTATCTTTAAATGTGTTGCCTAAAGGCGCTTTAGACCGACTAAACTGTGAAGGTTTGGTTTTGAAGCCAAGTGATATTGTTGTGAGGGCATTTGATGGGTCGAAAAGGATGGTTCATGGAGAGGTGGATCTCCCAATTAAGGTTGGTTCACAGATTTTCAACTCCACGTTCTACATAATGGACATACGGCCTGCGTATTCTTGCTTGCTTGGGCGCCCATGGATCCATGGGGCAGGTGCGGTCACCTCTACTCTCCACCAGAAGTTAAAATATCCAGTTCAAGGGAAGGTTGTCACTGTTTGCGGCGAGGAAGAATTTATGGTAAGCCATCTCAATTCTTTCAAGTACGTAGAAATGGATGGCGAATTCATAGAAACTCCTTGCCAGCCGTTTGAAGTTGTGGCCGCCACCAAAATCTCCTCTGACACTCCAAGAGCTGATGAAGTTATCCCCAAGATGGTTTCTCTTAAGGATGTCCGTGCTGTGGTAGAAGAAGGAAACAATGAGATGTGGGGTCAACTCCTCGATATCCCATTCAAGGAAGACAAGTTTGGATTAGGTTTCCCCTCCAAAGCTCAGAAAGAAATTAGAGGTGTTCGTGCTGGGAAGCCGCCTCTCCACCTCAAAAATCATGAAGTGAACGCTGTAGAAGACTCCGATAATGAGTGTGCTTTTGAAGACTGGATCTACCCAACAATCGAAGGGAAGCTCAACAATTGGCATGCAAAGGATTTCACTCTTGTTTCTTTCATTGATGAGTAATTACTGTTTACTTTTTCTGTCAATTCAGGAACTCTATATCTGTAATATTATTTCCAAACAACGACTTTTAAGCCATTTGCCTTTCCCGGGGCATTTTTGGTCCTTTTTGTTAAGGTTTTTATTCCAGGGGGAGTTGTTCATCTCATGGGGAGTTTTCTAAACTCTTATATTATTTTGTTTATGATTTAACCTTGTAAAGTTGTTCCATCAAAATACATGGTTTTGTCATCATCAAAAAGGGGGAGATTGTTAGAACAAGATTTAGATCTATGTTTAAATCTCTTTGTTTTGATAATAACAATGCATATATTTTATGTAGAACAATTGTAGTTCTAATGGTTTCATTGAGTGTGCAAATATTAGAATTCTGGATAGTCTTAAACAAGATCACATCAGAATCACTTTATCACTCAAAAGAACTGAGTTTGTTTCTAATGAAACATTAATAGTTCTGTTAAATGCTGAATGTTCGTCGAGAAAAGAATCTCGATGAGTTTCTAAGAAGAGCTTGCGCTTTAAAGATCAGAAATCAAAGAAGTAAAGATTCAAAGATCAACTCAACATCAGAATCAAGATCAAAATAAAGAGCTACGGAGTCAAGATATTAGAAATCAAAGAAGTAGCTGATAAAAGCTTTTGCTTACAGCTCAATATTAAAAATAAAGATATCAGAAATAAAGATGGTTAGAATTAAAGATCTCAAAATATCAGAAAAGAAGATCTCAGATATCAGAAAGAATTCAAGATCAGAAACCAAGATGTAGCTGGCATAAGCTGTTGCTTTCAGCTCAATTCAAAGATCAGAATTCAAGAGATAAGAAAGAAAGAATTCAACGTCAAAATCATATGTACTGATATAAGCTTTTGCTTCAGAAATCAGGCATCACATATGCAGCTCAGAAAAGCTATCATTAGAAATCAAAGATCAGATCAAGATGAATTAACCAGAAAAATAGAGGTACTAATATAAGCTTCTGCTTTAGAAATCAGACACCAGACATGCAACTCAAAAAAGATGATTAATATAAATCAAGATCAGATCAAGACATAGTAGATCAGAAAAGATTTCATTCATAAACAAAGAAGTTGTTCCTCAAATTAGCTGTTGCTTGCATATCTGAAGACAATGTTCAAATATCTAAAAGACTATGAATCTACAACAAAGAAGCATCTTCTAGATCACTATCATTCTTCAATCAGAATCAATCCAGCAAGAAGAAGAAAAAAATCAAAGCTCAGAATTCAAAGACTTGAGAATCAGAAAGGTTGTTGCCACAATATCCGATTTCAAGATCTAAACATTAGAAAAGATTTTGATATCAACTTCAAAAAAGATTTTGCCTACAACGACATAACTTGTTTCTCAGATAAGTTATTGCTCATATCTGAAGACAAGAATCTACTAATGAAAGATTCTGAAAAGAAAAATCTTCTCACTTAATTTTCATCTCTCAGATTAGATAAGACATAAGCCTTCAAGACTAGTTCTAAGATAAGAAGTCAAGCTTCGTGTTTCAGAAAAATTGTTGCTATTATTTCTAAAGAAAAGTCATGGTTTTGACAACTCTGATGTTCCTATGCTACAACAACAAAGTAGTTTCTAAACTACTCATCAAATATTCATCAGATGAACAAAGAGAAAGTAATTGATCTCTTCCAAGCTTGATACTTCAGAATCAGAAGTGCATCATTAAAAGATAAAGATCAAGAAACTTAGTCAAGAAGAATACAATACAAAAATTACACTATAAATTCCACTATCATGATATTGGTTGTACTATTCACATAAATTGTCTCCCACGTTCTTATGCTAACAACTGCAAGCAACAGGTTAAGGAAAGTGATGTTTCATACTATTCAAAACCTCTCTTGAATATATCCATTGGCAATCAACCGTTGGAAGGAGAAATAACTTTTCAACCCTTATAACTAAGCTTTTTTAAGGCTATATAAGAAGAACAATGGAATAATTACAATTTGATGAAGTCGACGATACTGACAACGATGAAGTCCACAAACACAAATAATGAGAGATAAAAAGAAGATATGAAAAGTAATAAGAAGAAAAAGATAAAGATGGAGAAGAATACAAGATGTTACATTCAATATTAGATTTATAGCCATCTTTGTAGAATTATGTAAAAGCAAAGAGTTGTTGCTCATATCTTGCTAAACACTTGTGTGTTTTATCATATACTTAAACTAGGAGTACTCTGCTTGTTAAGAAGCATTCTTGTATTTTCCAGAAACAATTCTTTCTAGAATTGGTGTTGCCTCAAGTGATCGAGTGAAGATCAGTATAATTGAGAAGACTTTGACAACTGGTCATTGTAGATGAAGTCCTTTCTAAGGTACCGAGTAGGTCATAATCCTTGAGAGTGATCATTATATCTCTTAGGGGACCGGGTAGGTCAGAATTCTTAAGGGATCACTAAATCTATGATCATTGTTGTTGTTAGTCACCGGTGGAGAGCCCGTGCATCTATAATCTGTTGAGATTAATGGATTAATTCATTGTCTAATACAAAATCATCCAAGGAGAGTGGACAAGATGTAGCCTTGTTGAAGGTGAACTTTGATAAATTGATTGTGTCTCTTTATATTTCTAGCATTCTATATTCTTTCATAGTTTTATAAAATAGTTTTTCAATAGAATTTGTTTTTAAAAATCCAATTCAAATACCTATTTCTTGTGTTTTTCTCTTCCTTCATTTGTTGGTTTCAAAGTATGTGACTATTCAACTTCTAGATATCTCATCTTCTTGTCCTCTGAAACAAAACAAACGGCGCCAATTATCTCTTCACTTTTCACCGCCGTAATCTCTTCCGACACGCACGACACAACCTCATACCACCACCAAAAGCTTAGTCGCCTCACGCTTATTCCGAATACACCATCCTTCTTCATCAGTTTCTCGCTACCTGTGCTACATCTAACCAAAAATTTGAAACCCTAAGTTTCCTAAAACCGAAATTAAGCAGTAATGTAGAACAAACTTAATCCAGAAGCATGGAGGAATCAATTCTGAGGTTCTAAGATACATCTCTGTGCCAAGAGAATGCATAGAAGATGGAGGATCGGAGCTTACCTGCCGGAGATGCTCCGACGGCCCTTGAATCTCGCTAATGACGAACAGAATACCAGAGATGAGACTCTAACCAGGTAATGTATTCTTGATCGTCACTAGCTTCTTCCTCTGCGTGTGAATCCTCTTCTTTTCGAGTTCTGCGATCTCTTCTTCTCCTATGATTCTGTGTTCTGTTGCAAATTATGTCGTTCTTGTGCGCAGAGATGAAAATGATTGTTGATGAAGCAGGTGGAAGATGTTGATGATGGAGAGAGGATGCAGAGGGATCGAGAATGAGATAATGGTAGAGGTGCAGTGGTGAAGGTTGATGCGTGAGGCTCAGAGAGGTTGCAGAAGAATTCAGTTATGGATTTTTCCCTTGAATTTGTGATTCTTCTCAAGATAGTGAAGAATGGTTGAAGATTGATGAGGAATTACAGAGAATATTGCAGAGCTTTTTCTTGGTGATTCTTCTAAGAGTTTTTAGAATGAAATGATTGCAGGTAAATCTGAGTTTATATTCTGTTAGATTAGGAAATAGTTGGTTACAAATGATTGGATCTGAACTGTTGGAAGGAGATTTTCAGTTAGAGAATTGAAGGGTGGGATTTTAATCAGTTAGAGGTTGTTTATGGACTTTGTAATTCTGTTATGTCTGTTTTCAGAGGTTCAAATCTATTTGAGAAAATATTTATGGACTTGTCTCAAATTAGTTGGTGTCAGTTTAGGTGGTTTTATTGAACACATTTATAGAGTTTTTCTTGGTGGTGAACTGGAATGGGTTTTACAAATAGAGGTGTAATAACTGCAAGAATGGAAGTTATGCAGGTTTTAAACTCTCTTTCTTTTCTGATTTTCCGCTTAAACGGGGATACGACTATGGTTAGTGTTAGTTAACAAAAGTTAGTTATATGGTTAATTCTCTGTTATAAATTGTTTGACTAGGTGCTTGATGAAACAATTGCGCTTTATTTGCTTAGAGGTTACTTGAATTTAGACTGACTTGGAATGAGTATTGCAGGTTCATGGCTAACTAAAGTATCCAAAATGTCTGGATTTGAAAATTTTTTAGATGGAAAAAAGAACATTTGTTATGCAGCATCTTTTTAAGCTCAGGAACTTGAGGATCATAAAGCATAGATGATTGTTTCCAGGATCCATTGGCAGCTAGAACAAATGTTACAACAGAAAGTGAAGAATTGAGAGAGATATCCTTTTTGATTAGATCCTGGATGTTATTCAGAATGGAAGACACGACTCCTTGGTTCATAAGTAACTCTGCCATATGATTGAATATGTGACCTTTGAAGAATTCTATTATTGTTGGTTCTCTGTTTGGACATCAAGTTTTTATTTGTGTAATCTTCTTGTACCTTGGTATTGAATGATGGGTGAAATAATTTGACTTTGTGTAATTTGTTAATGAATCATGATGAACTCTTTTGCCTTGGTAACTTGAACTCACAACAAACCAAATGAATGAACTTGAACTTGATGATAACAATGTCAAAACTTTTGATCCCATACCATTGAGTTAATGCAATGCAAATGATGTGTATGTTAATGAAGCATAAACCTAAAATGTATGAATCACAAGAGGGCAAATTTTGAGGTAAAACAATATTCTTTAAGTATAAATTATCTCGTCCATTAGTCATGCCACTATACAAAATCAAAGTGATTTTCGTTATATTATTCATAACTAAACCCATCAGTGTGCATTAATATTGACATAACTAAATGACATAGGTTAATAATGAAATATGTAGTATGAAAATCACATGAAGTTGGTTTGTACATGTTGATTTACAATTGGTCCTACTTTACTTTAGTGATCATTCAATAATCTTATCGTACAAAGTGTAAATAGCTTAATATCCAACATAGAATACAAAATTCATAAATTACTAACTCCCACTAAATTAAAGATTCCTCTAACTATAAACCACACATGTAAGAGATATGCTCATGAAAGACCTTGGGTGAAAGACCTTTTGTAAGAGGATCTACTACCATAAAATTTGTTCCTAATTGTTATATGGAAATTTCTATAATTTGTACCCTTTACTTAACAACTAGAAAATTGATGTCAATTTATTTTTACTTGGCTGAGCTCCTATTATTTTTTAAATACAAGATGACTAATTTATTGTCATAGTATAACTTAAATGGTATTTCAATTTCTTCCACAATTTTTTGTCCACGGAATAAGTTCCTCAACAAAATCCCATGGTTAGATGCCTCATAACTTGCTATAAATTCCTCTTCCATGGTGGATGAACCCATAAGAGTTTATTTGGCACTGTGCCAATATATTGCACCACCAGCCAACATGTAGATATAGCCTTAAGTGGATCCAGCAAAATATGAGTCAGAGTATCTAGTGATCTCTAACTGGTTTGACCTCCTATATGTAAGCATATAATCCTTTGTTCTCTTTAAATATCTCATAACCTATTTGGCTTATTTCTAATAATCCATTCCTAGATAGATCAAATATCGGCCTAACACTCCAACTCTGAACGCAATAATCGAACATGTACCAACTTTGGTATACATTAGACTCCCTGCAGCTGACGCTTAAGGAATCTTTTGCATTTCTTGAATTTTTAAGAACAAATTTGTCTCCCTTATAAATTAAAGTATTCCTGATTTACAATGCTGCATGCCAAACCTTCTAAGTATCTTTTCAATGTAGATCCTTTATGATAATCTTATAATACCTCGAGATCGGTCTTAGTGTATATGAATTCCTAATAGAAAGGAGGCATTACCAAGAACTTTTTTTTTCATATTTTCTTGATAGGAATTTATTGATTTCGTACAACATGAATTTATCATTGGCGACAAACAATATGTCATCAACATATAGGTTCGAGAATATATACTCGCTCTCACTCAATTTGTGATACACACAATTTTCAATAACATTAACCTCAAAACTAAATAAGAGAATTACTTCATGAAACTTATGGTACCACTGACGAGATGTGTGCGTTAGTCTATTAATGTATTTTGTCAATTTTCAAACCATATTCTTTGAGTCTCCCAATACAAAGTTTTTTGGTTGCACCATATAGATCGTTTCATCAACGTTGCCATTGAGGAATACCGTCTTGACATCCATTACATGGAGTTTCAAATCATAATATGCAATAAGGGTCATGATTATCCTAAAAGAGTCTTTTAATGAAACTAAAGAGAAAGTCTTTTTAAATTCAATCCCTTCCTTTTGAGTATAACCCTTAGCCATAAGACAAGCTTTAAAAAATCATTTGCATCCAATGATTTTAATACCTTCGGGCAATAGGGGAAGTTCTCGAAATTTATTGTCTTGCATGGACTTTTACTCCTCCATCATTTCTTCTATCCAATTTTCAGAGTTGGAATCCTGCATGATTTGGCGGAAGTTGATTGGATCTAGTGGATGAGTTTGATGATCTCCTCATTGAACCAGACGAGGTAATCTCTAAAGGACTCTGAAGGACCTTGGAGAATGTTGAACAAACTGGTGGTCGACATTATCCTCGATCTGCTTGCTGAAAATTAGTTGACCAAGTTCTTTACTAGGTCCTCGTAGTTGGTGACTAAGAGTCGTGGTAGGCTCATGCACCTGTTTTCTTGAAGTTGTTGGAGAGGAACTTCCATTTAAGGAAATCTAAGGCTCCAATAGTATTTATTTGCATATTAATGGAGGCGATATGCTCTTGAGGATCACTTCTTCCATCGAAATTTGTGAGCGATGTGACTTGAAATTTTCTTGTACGAGGGCTCTAGAATCACGTCAGAGAGAGGTTAGGAGTCCAAAACCTTTGTCTCCTCAATGGGATTAGCCTCCTATTTGTGCTTGTAGAGGTTAAGGATGTTGTCCTCTAATTCATATATTTCAAAGAGGCTCACATCTCCGCTATGGCATTCCAGTCACCTCAAAAGCTATTGTCCTCCAAAGCTATTGCTATATAAAACATATTTGATGGGGATTAAAGAGGAGAACAATAAACTAATAGTCGTAAAAAAGATGGTAAATGTCAGTTTTACTAGGATTCCACGGTGAGAGCCTATTGTACTTGTTAAAAATGAACAATGAGGGTAGCCTTGTATTTGGTTGGTTGTTTGTGATGTTAAGGATAGTTGATAGTGTTTAGAGGTAGTTCACACATAGTACTAAGAAACTCTGGATATATGGTTTATAGATGAAAAATATTCAATGTTTTGAGTTATTTATAGACACCTCTTTGACCTAAGCTAGAAAGTATTTATCTCTGCCCTTCTATAAAAAATGTAGGGAGTAAGGGAGTTATTCTTCCTTAAGTCGTGGAGACCATAATAGTTCTCTTTGACCCTTCTTAAAGTGTCAATCTTGCATGTCAACCTCATGTAACCATACAACATTAAGAATTAGCATCAACATGAATATTTAAAAAATATAATCGAGTTGTTTAAATAACTAAGAAGTGTGGAGTAATACTATATAGCCAGATTCAGATTCAAAGGGATGTGATTAAAGACCACTCCACATAATGTGACCTAATACAAACACATACTAATGCAAAGAAAGGATCATGAATGTCTTTAGATGCAAATGAAAATGAAAAGATGATAACGGGTTAAAGCAAAACAGTTGTGACTTTAAACATAGCTTTCCTATTTTAATCGGATCATAAAAATGTTAAGGTACAAATGATAAGATGATTATGGAATGAAGCAAAGATTGAGATGCCAACCACATCTTGCTTGTTTTTAGAGCAAGTAGATTGAAATTACATCATAACATGCTTATGATGCAACGCATAAATGGTATGAACGCAAAATGATGTAAACAAATGCATGTAGGAACGAATGCAGGTGTTTGATGATAGAAGAATGCATGGAAAAGGAAAAATAGGAAAACTACTATGATCTTATCTATTTTACGCAAAATTAAGTTAGGGATTAACAACTATTAAAACCATATCAGAAATATCCGAATAACATAGAACAAAGAAAACCTCATGCAAAACCAACTTTTGGCACAATATTACTAACCACACCAAATTATGAAATAAAGCCCTTAATTAACTCTATTAATTTCTTAGCTTTCAATGGATCAGAATACTCTATTGCATGAGAACCTTCCTCAAAGTCCTTCACAACATGAACACCCTTTTTCTTCATCAATTCTGCCAACTCAATATATAGAGTTGTTGTATATCTACTTTTCATTAATTCAATATTAAAGTCACTTTCTGCATTGCATTTCATCTTCTCGCTTGCATTACAAGAAACAAAAAGTTGCACTAACATTAACATCGAGAGCCTAGTCTGTAGACAAATTGGTTTCTGCACCAAAGCAATTGGAAAAGGTTGGGTACTATGATGAAATTGTTGTTAGGAGCTCAAGATGTGATTGAAATGGTGCATAATGGATGTGAAGAATTGAAAGCAGAACCCACAAATGCACAAAGAATAACGTTCAAGGAGACAAAGGAAGAAAATTTGTGAGGCTTTGTTCTGCATTCAACAAAATATTAATGCTCATCATTTTGAAAAGATTTCGAAGGCGACAAGATCTAAAAAGGCATGCAATATTTTAGAGAAATATCATGATGGTGGAAAAAAGTGAAGCAAGTGAATCTTTAATCTTTAAAGAAAAAGTATGAATTATGCATATGGAAAGGGACCAAAAAACAAATAATTACTTCTCTAAATTGATTGTAGTGGTGAAGCCAATGAAGACATGCAGTGAGGCAATTACTAATGAGAAAGTAGTTAGAAAGGTGATAAGATCCCTGACTTCAAAATTTGATTTCATATAGGTGGCAATTCACGAACTCAAATATTTGAATGCCATTAACTCATGGTAGATGATAAAGGAATTGAGAGGACAATTTAACAAACTTTGCAAGCTCATGTGATAAAAAAACATGGTCATAAAAGGAATTTCTAGAAGAAAGAAAAATAAAGCTTTAAGAATGTGAACTAGTCCATTAATGGTAAATCAAATGTTGATGAGAAAGCCGAATCTTCCAAGAGAGAAGGAGGCTCTAGTACCAACCAATCAAAGAAGAAAGAACTTGTTAAAAGAAGGTGCAATGCTACAATTTTTAAAAGTTCGAATACTTTTCTAAACTATGTTAGCACATTAAAGATGGGAAGAAGAATAAAAGGGGGTGATAAAGAAGCTCGTATAGTTCATGATGATGACTATGATTCAAAAACTATTTGCTAATGATCATGATAACATTGTTTTGCAAGTAATAGATTTTTATTCAAGACATCATTTTTGGATGATGACAACTGTAAAGAAAAGAATAAAGACATCCATCATGATAAATATGCAACTAATGATAAGTCAAACAATGCACTTAAGCGGTTAAAAATGCAAACCATGAATATAAAGATTTGATAAATTTGACTATCAGACGAATGCAAACAAACTAGATTCTATCAAAAGCCTCAAGAGATCTCAAGCACGTGCCAATGCAAAAAAAACACTTTGAAAAATATATAGAAGTTGGATAGAACAAGATGAGAGTAGTCAAAAAGCCATGGAAGAATTTTTGACTTTATTTAATCGGTTAGAGTAAATTGTCAACCGATTAGAAACGCGCGAACTTGTGGCGCAAGGCAAGTTAAATGCACCCAAATTCTATGCAATAACTATATATCTTATTTTTCCATATTAGAAACTTATATACAATTAATTTTCAAAAATTAGCAATTAGAAAAAAGCTTCAATCGGTTAGATAACGACTTTTTTGCTTAAATGCTATTTTTTTTAGAACCTCAAGCCTATAGATAGAGGCTCATTTACTCATTTCAGCACATCTAGAACACAAATTTGTGTATTGACTCTCTCTCTCTCTCTCTCTCTCTCTCTCTCTCTCTCTTTATGTCTCTCTAAGTTATATTTTAACTTTCTCTCACCAGTTCTTATTGCCAAATGCTTTTGTGAGGAAGATACCATTTGCGAGTGAGGTGACCATTGTAATTTTGGAAGACACTATGCCAAACAAGCACATAGACACTGTTTTTTTTCTCATAGACAGCGCTGCTATAAGTAAATGCAGCACTTTGGATTAATGTGAAAGCGCTGCTATATGTCCCCTTTAGGCAGCGCTTTTATTTTAAAAGCGCTTTCTTATGCACCCCTTTAGAAGCGCTTTCTCTTTAGAGAGCGCTTTGGTAAGTACTCCTTTAGCACCGCTTTCTCTTTAAACAACGTGTTGTACCCCAAAATTTGCCCTCCCATTTTTTTCATACAAGATACTATCCTAGGGTTTCTCGGATACTCAATTTGGCTCAGAATTTGATCAGACAGATTCTTTCCCTAAGCAGTAAATCAGCAATTAAGGTTTTGCATTTTCCAAAGAAAATTGAGTCTTCAATTTCTCAAATGGTCTTCAAAGATCTTCATGTCTCCCCAAGGATGTTCGTGCCAAGTTTCAAACCTCGCATCGCACGTTTACTCAATCATTGGTCCAGATAACTGGAAACGACCACGTCAACCCAAAGAAAAAAATTTGACCTTTTTGCGAGAACAAGTTCAAACAATTGTAACTTCTTCATCATTCGATATTTTTGAGTGGTTCTTTTTGCATATGACTCTCCTTGGCATCGTCTTCAATTCCTATTTAACAAGTCAAGAGCCGATTATGTGCGGAAGATTATCAAAGTTTCGAATACTTTAGAGGTCACTTTTTGAATTTTTAACTTAATCTCAAATAATTGTTGCCTGACTTCCAAGAGTCATAATTCCCTCAATTTTCAACATCTTGAGATGAATATCTTAGCATATTGTCACAAATAAGATCATCAACAAGTTTTCCTACAAGAATCAAAGTCAAACGATGTTTATAAAGCTTGGGGATTTATTGAAACGTTATAAGTCATCTTCTTGACTTAAATCTTTCTTGAGTCCTAATAACTTCACGATGTCAATTCTTCAATGTGATAACTTTTGCCTCGAAACCTCTTCTAGTGATTGTTCAAGGTATTTTAAGTTGAGTTTTGAATTCTTATGCATGATGTGAGTTGGGTTGATTTAAAGTTTGTGAACCATTGGCATAAGGAATTCCTTTTTGGATATTCAAAGCAGATTAAAAAAAAGAAGGGGAAACGCCTAATTGAAGTTCCATCAAGTTTGAAAGAAAGATTGAGTCTTGTTTGGATGGAATGTTTAAACTCAAGTTTATTTTGGAAGAAGAAGTATATTTTGAGCTCTTATCATTTGAGATTAATGGTTAAAGTTAAGTACTCATCATGTAAGTACAAATTTTTCAAGCAAAAGGCACTCATGAATTTTGGTACAAATTCGTTCCCAATATTCATTCAAATAATGTCTTTGATTTCGCATCAATTCAAGTGTACAAGGCATGAATCATTTTATTCAAATTCATTCAAGAGAATTCAACATTACAATTTCATTCCTCATTCAAGCTCAAATTCCATAAAAAAAAAATATAATTTCAAAGTTCCAAATTCCAATTCATGTTACAAATTTTTATCTGGAATTATTATTACAAGAAGAATTACTAGTTTGTACATAAAAAATCAAACTATTAATTCTAAATGTCCTAAAGCTTCATGCTTCAAACACACAACCTATTTCCAACCCTGTTAAAATACAACAAACCTAATTTTGTAGTATTTTGCTATCCAAGATATTGCAAAACAGTCCCAACAAAAGTGCTGTAGAAATACCATAAAACAGTCCACACAAAAAAAGTAGTCTATGACAGTCCCAAATGCTGCCAAAATTCTGCTACTTTCTTACTGCAAATCTGCCCAAAATCAGTCCAAAACCATGTTGTCCTATGCTGGCCAAAACCTGCATAAACAACCAATTATTACACAAAAATCAGCAACACAAAATCTGCCCCAGAAAGCAATAAAACAGTAGCCAAAATTGTTCAAAGAATTATCAAGTTTTTCCCCCCATTTTCACACTATCTCACCTATATAACAGATCCATCTTAACCAGAAAAAAGGGGGGGGGTGAATAATACACAAGATCAATTGTTACAAAACCAACTGCAGAGAAAATATACAAAAAAAGAAGAGACAACAGTACACCAAAATCCCAAAAGAATCAAGAAAACAATCTAATACCTCAATCAATCTCAAACCTCTCAAAAGACTTGTTCATAACCAATCCTGCAAGTCTCCCTCTTCTTATCTCATAAACATACTGCTGCGTAGTTTTGCTCGAATTTTTTGTTGTTGTATCTTTACTGTCTATACGGTTGCTTTGCTTCTGTTCTACTAGTATTTTTGTAACTGTTAAAATATACCAAAATTCTGTTAAAAAAAAGGAAATACACGATTACACATTCCCTATACAAAAAAAAACTTTTGGCCATTGAGTCTACACCCCATCTCTTTCTCACATGTTACAGTAACTATATCCTTTCATCATTTGTCTTCCATAACATAAATCTTTCACATATAAACCAAAAATGGAACCAAACTTTTTTCAAAACCATACGAAATCTGCATAATCCATATTCACACATTCACAACACTGTGAATTAAGAGAGAAACGCAACAACATAACTTCAGATCTGTAGAAACTAGGATTAATCAAATGACAAAGAGAATCAAAGAGAGAGAGGTAGAGAGAGAGAGAGAAGAAAGAAAAGATCCCGAATAAAGAAAGAAAAAAATTATCTGACCTGTTCGCGGCGGTGCCGCCATCAGGTTCCGAAACACCACCGCGTCGTTTTTGGCATCCTTCAGTGTTTAGGTTTGAAATTAGAGAAAGAATATGAAAGAGAAGAGAGAGAGAGAGAGATTGATTATTTTTGTTGTTGTTTAAGAAGAGATAAAATCCATTAATTATAAATATCAAAGTAATAATAATTAAGAATAATCTTTTTCCTCTTCCCAAAGGTAAGTCAGCCGCGGCTACTGCTATTAGGTTTTTTTTCAATTGCTTTTCCATTCCTTTGTCATAAAACCGGGTTTGGGCCTATTAGGTTTGGCCCAACCCACTTCATAATTTTAGCCTTTTGTTTCAATAAGGTTGGGATAATGCATGAAGTATTGAGTGATATAGCGGTTAGGATGTGGTCATGTGATTGAAAAGTCTTGGGTTCGAGACCCCCCGGGGACTTTTTTTCCTTTCTATGTTTTTTTTCTCTCTCTGTTTTTATTATTATTGAACAAAAGATAACAAAAAAAAAACTATCTTGGGCCAGTTTTTAGCCCATCCGAATTTCTATCTCACACCCTCATCTTTTGGTGTTAACCTTTTATTTTGTTTATTTTGATTAATATAGATGCCTTTGATTATGTTTTTATCCTAGTTTAATTTTTAATTAAATAAAAAGAAAACATGTTATTAGATTTTAGAATATCAATTTTGTTTAAATTTCAAAATTCAAGTAAATTAAATATATTTTTAAATTAGTAATTTTTTTTAGTTAGGGATTTTTGTAAATAGTTTTATTAATTAATATTTTATCATTTAGTTAACATTTTTTAGTTTCTACGTAAATAAAAAATACACTAAAAACTCAAGAAGATACACATTCGATTTAATTTCTTTAGTTAAATATTTTCTTTAACAGAACAAAATTTGTATTTCCAAAACTCTGCAAGCAAATACCTAGAATTTTATTTCCATGTTTTAATTAATTTTTACTTCATAGATTGGTTGTGATTTCGATTAATTGCTCGATTCGATTTGGTTGTATTGTTTGCTTATTTGGACTTTTAATCGCATTATTCCATCCCCATTTGTAAAAAAAATTATACCCTCATTCCCGAAAGCTTTGTAATAGTGTAGAATTTCCATTTCCGCAATTTATTGTTTTCTTTATACTGTGTAGTAATTAGGCGTGTATGACAAGATTTAAAATCAAGCGCTAGATAACCTAATTTAAAAGACAAAATTAACTTGAATCAAAAACACTTTTTCACACGCGCACCTCTAGGGTAGCCTCGCTCGTTGCCTCGGAAACACAGTCATGTCCCTCGAATATGGGACGCTTTAGCAATGACCCTTCGATAAAAAAGATCGTAGTCCCTCGATGTTGCCTTCGATAAAACGATCTAGTCCTTTACGAAAATTGCTAAAGCGTTTCATAAGTTGCTTTCGATGAATGTAAAATTGACCCGCGCCTGTCCCTTCATATCCGACGATGGGGCTTCTTACCAAATCAATGGTAATATAGCAACATCTAAAGGAGGAAGAAAAGAACATTTAAGACCTTTCGAGTAGGTAGATTCGCTCCTAGTTACTCGCTTACTCACGACAAAAAGCCTTTTTACACCGACACTCTCATTTCAAATTTTTTTTCAAAAAGACATAACATTTTTTATACGTTCTTATAGAGACAAGAACCATTACAAAACATCTTTCCAAAAACCACTTTCAAAAACACATTCCACAAACACATCTTTGAACTATCTTTCGAAACAAAACTTTGTACGTGTTCTTATAGAAACGAGAACCATTACAAAGACATTTTCAAAATACTTTCAAAAAATACACCACAAGCATATTGTCAAACAAAAGCAAGTGATCTAGCGAGTAACTAAGAGCCTGTAGATAACTACGGATGAAAAAGGTGCTAATACCTTCCCTCTTCATAATCTACCCCCCGAACCCGAGAAATAATCTCGAAAGGTATTTCCTGTGCTTTTTTACCTTTTCTTTTGGATAAAAGAAAATTCAGTGGCGACTCTTGCTATCCGCACAAATGCGATCAAAATGCAAACACCTCAAGTCAGTTCTCCCACTGTATCATAGAATTGGCGAATTTGCTGGGGAAAATTATAAAAGCGGGGTTACCTTAGGGTTAGATCCCTTTTTACTTGTTTCTTTGCATGCTTTATATTTTGTTCTTTGTATTAGGCTTGCATTGATCCTTCACCCGGATCTGGGACACCTTGTTAGGTAAATAGCAATAGATTGTGGAAACTGTACGGCGTAAACCGATATTGTTGAAACAATGGCTATATTAGTGTGACGCATTTGTGGGTACCAGTATCCCTCGTGGTGAATCGAGGAGAATACGGGGCCGCTGAGTGGCATCATGAAGCACTAACCGACTTTAGAACCCTAATTGAACAAACTTGACCATTAGGACGTAGTGAGATAACCGGTTTCGGTGTAGAGCTGAAAATTGGTTGATACTCGATACTACACTCATTGAGGCTAAACTTTTGGGATATCTCGGCCGCAAGAAAAGATTGTTGTGATGAGACAATGCCTAAGAGAAAGGTTAGTGATATTTAGATCCTTTAGAACCCGATCACTATTACTAGGACAGGTTGAACCAACTAAACTTCAAGAGGGTACTTACCTATAAAACCCATGTGTTGTACCCCAAAATTTTCCCTCCCATTTCTTCAACATTTTCTCACCACAAGACCCTTGGAGCTCAAGATCAAGTTAGGGTTTACTCTGCTCAAGACTCCTCCTTGCACTGTTGACCCAAATTAGGGTTTGTGTTTGCACAGAGATGTTTTGACCTAAAAGGCCCAAAGTGACTTTCATGCTTCATGTTGGACTCACAAGTTTATCCATACCAAGTTTCAAGCCTTGATTCCAATCTTTGCCCAGTCAATTGGACAGTTGACCAAAAAATCAGCTGTATTGGGGAAAAAGTCAACTGTGGTCAATGGACAGTCAAACCTCATGATTTTTGACCCACATCAACATTATGAACTCATATGGACCATTTGATCAAGTTTGGATCATAATTCCACAAGAAATTTGGTCAGATCACCAAAAGGGCAAAATGGTCATTTTTAGGGTTTTGACTGCACAAAGGCAATTTTTGACTGTTTGACCTAGCCAATGGCAAACCAAGCTCTCATATGGACTCAAGGACTCAATGACATGGTCTTTACATATTCAACAAGTTCAAAAGATCCCAAATGCACAAGATTGACAGATGAATTTTCCAGTCAACTGAGCAAAATTTGACTGTATACTGAAAAGTCAAACTTTGACTTTTTGGTCAAAATCAAGTGTCAAGATTCATTTTTCATCAAGACATGTCAAATTATGAAACTTGTTCATCAAGAAATCAAAAATCACAAATTAGGGTTTGAAATGAAGAAATTTCATAACTTAGAAATTTTCTAAGTTATGAAAATTCCTAATTTTTTCCTAACTTTGTCCCATCTTTTCATCAAGATACATTTGGATTCAAACAAAACTCAAAACATGAAATTTATAGTCCATTGCAAAATCTACAACTTTTGTTCACAAAGTTTCCTCAAAAGAAGCTTGTAGCTCAAGTTATGATTTTTGGAACAAGGGTGCAAAACATTCTTAACTTAGAAAATTTTTGACCTATTCTAGGCAGGATTTTTGCCTAACTTCATGGCCACTTTTCACATGCTTCCACTTGGAATTTCAACTTTCATTACAAAGATGGATTATAGTACACATTCCAAGCTTTCCAAATTGTCAAAGAACTTCTCAAACACCCTTGTGGTTAGGGAGAATCGAATTGGCAAAGTTGGGAAAAATCCACTTTTGTTCTTGACCAAGGCATGTTCATACACTTTGCATTTTTGAAATCAGCTTGTACAAGCTAGATTACAGGCCTTTTATCTCATCCACACTCAATAATTTAATGCCAACCCTTTGTGTTCAAGCCTTATTTTGTGTGTTTAACCATTGCATACAAGATTAAGCCATAAATAGAAAAAGCATTTTATCTATTCTTGTAAAGTTACACTTTATGTCAAGTTGGCAATCCAAGAGGTACAAAGAAAATCTATGAGGCACAAATTATTGAACTAATCCCACTGATCAAGATAAACTTTTGCAGCATGTTTAGGGGGCCTGCATAAGCTTGTAACAAGACTTGGCATTTTTGACTTAGAAAAAGAAGAAAACTTGCATAACTAACCACAACTCACATTGCTGAACAACTAGCCAAAACAAACTTTGCAAACACTTTTCCCTTGGTCCAACTAACCTAAAGCACGAATCAATCAGATTTCAAACCTTCTTATTCATCAAAACACAATTTTGTGGCAAAACAGGGCACCTGCTGCAGATTGAGGTCCACAACTCAATCCATTCGTGCGCCTTGGCCAAAACCAGTTCAAACACACTACCTACCACCCATACAAACTATCCCAAGCATTGGACACGAACTGTAACATCCCTAACATCATTTGCCATTTTCAGTTTTCAACTTTGCAGGTGAACTTCTGTAGCTTGATATAGCAAGATTCAAAGCACACCAAGCATTGGAATAGCATCCCTGGACTTCAAGAAAGCTATACAAGTCCTCACATTTCATTGAAAGTACCTCCATTGTCATACACGAATCAAGCTGAACAGGTAAGTTTTTGAACTCCTATCTCTCTATCCAAGCATATCTAAGCTTAGGTTTGTGAAGAAAGCATGTTCTATTCATGGCCCTGAAGCTACCTGTATCCTCACTTTTCATTTATATTGTGTGTGTTAAGAGAATTTGGAACCTGAACATTAGGGAAAAGTTAGGTCAGGAATTGGGGGAGAAGAAATTCTCTCTCATTTCTGAGAGGTAGATCAAGTTCTTGGTATGTATGGATTCGTGACTTGATGCTTGACATTTTTTGTGTTATAAGTTTGTGTTAAAAATCAAAGAATCAGGATGTTTGAATCAAGCAAGAAGCGCGCGTTTTTTAGAACAGGGATGGCTGGAGGTTGAAGAAGCTTGTCCTTTGGGCTGGGCCTGAGA